GAACTGGAGACTGCGTACAGCCTCACAGCGCTGCGCCACTGGGGAGGCCCTGGGTCTGTCTTCCATCATCAACTTAGTTCAAACATAACTTTTTGGCTCTTTGTTGCTGTTAAGTTATATTTGTTGCTTTGTTATGTGATGTACATTTGGCATTTGGGATCTTATCTCTTCATTCTCCTCTTGGTGGTATACTTTGTATCTGTTTCTTTGTCCTCGTATTCTGTTAAAGAGAGTATTCAAATGGTTGACCTTGGTTAACACAGAAATTTGCATAACCTTCCTTTGTTTAAATGACGGTACATGAGACTGAGCATCTGCCATACTTTACTATAAGGATTTGCTAGGAGGAAATGTCTGTGGAGAAAGGTACACTTTGGTCTGTTTTTTTTTTTAAATATTTATTTATTTATGCATGCAAGAGCTGGGGTACAGGCCAGAGGTACGGGAAGTCAGAGGATTCACTAGAGACCGAGCTGGGGACAGAACAGGCAGACTGACTGAAATACACTGCTGAGGGGAGCAGCGGGCAAGACAGGAGAGGTCTGCTGCACCATGTAGGTAGCTCCCTGGCTGGCCAGAGGATCAAATTCATGCTGCGGACAACCTCATAGGTTACATCTTAACCCCCTGTGCCACCAGGGAGGCCCCTTGGTCTGTTTCTTAAGTGACCAGATTTAGTGTGACCAAGACTCAAAGCATGTTCTTGTCATTATTTAATTTGTATAGTAGAAAACATGTTGTTGGGAAAACAATGGATGAACATCATGGCACACTGGCGTGTTTCTAGTCTGCACTGGTTACACCTGAATGTACTAGGAGCTGCAGTGTGTTAGCTGTAAAGCCAGAAGTCACCCTGGGTGTGTGGTGGGTCCCGCTGGTTAGATGTAGTTAGGGAGTCTGATGGCTTATGACTAAGTTCTCAGTGCTGCCACACTCACACACAGGGAGCACCTTGTCTTCAACACAGCTCTTCTGAGGTAAGGATTTTGTAGGTGCCATTCTTTTTAAAACTTTTTTTTTTTAAAGATTTATTTATTTATACATCCAAGAGCTGGGGTACAGGCCAGAGGTGTGGGGGGTGAGAGGAGTCACCAGAGACAGAGTGGGGAACAGAATAGGCAGAGCAACTGAAATATACTGCTGAGGGGCACAGAGGGCAAGACAGGAGAGGTCTGCTGTGCCATGTGGGTTTCTCCTTGGCCGGCCGGGGATTGAACTCGTGCTGCAGAGGCTGCAGATTGCTTCATAGTGTGGTGCTTAACCTCTTGAGCCACCAGGGAGGCCCCTTATAGGTGCCATTCTTATTTGAATAATGAACTGAATGTAGGTATAAATTGACTATCCCAATTTAAGATGGCAAAAAAAATAGAAGATTCATCTTGTGCTGCCTCATAAAATTCTCTTTGGTTTGTAGTATGCCATAAATGCAGGAGTCTCTTGTAATTTCAGTGTTTGCGTCTAGAGTTTATTGATGTGAGGGAAAGTCAACTTTAAATGAAAGAAGGGCTTTTAAGAAGTCCATTATAACCACTTCTAATGGAAAATGTATTTCCCATTAGAGTTTGATTTAAGGAGCTAGGGTTCTTCACTGAGGCGTGATGGCTGCTGTGAGTGCTCTGTGCGCAACATTTTTACAGTGTCCTTTGCTCATCTCCTTCTGGTTAATCTGTTGGTATATCGAGACCTGAATGGACTGCATATGTCTTGTTTAAGGAATATAAAAATTCCCAGAAATTTGAAAGAAATAAAGAATTAGCATATTTTTTTCATTTATCAGATACATTATGGGGAAAAAAAGCCTTACTAGTTCTAAACAGATACAACAGCACCAGATGTCAGTTCTTGGATCATTTCATCTTTTTCTCTTGTACTTATTTTTGTCAATATTTTTCCACTGGAACCAAATATTAGTTTCTGGCTCAGCTTGCTATATAAAAATTTTCCAATTAAATTGTTATGACTTCATTGTTACTCATGAGGGGAAATCCAATAAACAGAGATCATCACATATTGTGGCATGCAAGAGAGGAACATTAAAATAAACCTTCTGGCTCAGAGCAGGGCAGAGGGTTCTAAACCTTTCTGGAGTCTGAGAGACTCCAGATTTGACTGTATGTCCCCACCCCCAAGTATTTCTTAATGTGGGAAGGAATCTTTTGATTCTATCAGTCTGCTATTTAATTGGCCATCTCCAAATGTTCTCTAACTCCAGAGGTTATTGAAAGGTTCATCAAATCATTCAAATCCCTCTTCCGCCAGAGCCGGAGCCACTGATCTAGGGAAATTAATATCTCTTAGCCTCCGTTTAATGGAAATAAAGATATCTAGCTCATCATGTGATCGCAAGGGTTAAAAGAGATCATATATTGAAATAAATGAGTCATACTAGGCAGGTGTCATGGTCGACGCCCTCTCCCTACCTGGGAGCCACTCTGTCCTTCTTGCTTGAATGTGTCTTGACCTTTTCATGCCCGTACGGAAATGTCCTTTCTTCTGGAATGCCGTCTCTTCTCTGTACCTATTGAAAACCTTATGACCTTGAAAGGGTTACTTTATTACTTCAAACTTGCATCTTCTGAATTGTTAATGTTTACTAGGCAGCTCCAAGTAACTGTCCTACATTTTAGTCATCTACACACACCTTTCTTTCCTTAATGGTTGGTAAACTCCTTGAGGGCAGAGCCCATGTCAGCCCATGTTAGAAACCAACAGCAGTGGAAACTGTGCTCCCCACTGCTTCCCGCAAGGGCTTCGGCATAGTTGTCATGCTTCCAAGGTGATCTCATCATCATATCATTTTTCATTTATATTTCTCTTAATTGCAACCATATGGTGGTAATTTCTAAATCCTTTTTTTCTAGCTCTCACTGCACTCCTGTGCTTTGACTGCATTCAAATTTCTGGTGAATGTTTCCAGCTGACTATCACACAGGCACCTCAGAGTCAACATGTTCAAAACTGATCTCTCATCTGTTTCCACTTCCCTTCCCACTCACATCCCACTGCCTCCGCCATGTAGAGTGTATCAGTGGGGTTGTAGCACAGTCTACGCTGTCCTTGGAGCAGAAACTTTGAGGGACAGGTCACTCCTTCCTTTCCCATGTGTCTTTGTTGACCATGCTACCAAATCTTGATTCATTGCTTCTTAATCATTTCTTAAATTCCTCTTACCTTTTCCTAATATCAGATATAGTGGGCCCTCCTGTTTTAACTAGTTTTACTATAATTTCTTTCTAATCCATCTACTGAGTTCTTAATCCTCTCAAGTCCATGTTCTCTAATCCGAGCATATCATACACTCCCTCATAAAGACCCTTTGGAAACTTCCTTTCATATATGTCAGGGATGAGAACATTGGTATTGCCCCATGGACCACCTCTAACCAACTTAGTAACAGCTACTATGAGTGCTGCTATTGGGTTCAGCAGGATTGCTTGAATGAGTCTGATGTAGGGGCAGCCTTTGGGTGGGAAGCTCACAGCACAGAGCTTCATCCTCAGCACCCGCCAGTGTTCTGCTTCACACTTCACTCTTGGTCAGCATGGATATATTGTGTGTCCTTGTTTTTGCTCAAGTTGAAACTGCCTCCCTGTATCCTTTAAGTAGGAGACCCACACTCATCCTTCCATTTCTGGTGTGGGGTGAGTTGTGTGGGAGAGGAAGGGTCTCTGCATACGCCTAACTATTTCAAGGCTCTGAAAGCACCCAGCCTCCGGCCTCCCACATAACAGTTTACTGACTACTGATCTAAGATTCTAGCTGTCTCCCTTGAAAGAGGGTAATTCCAAGGGGCAGATACCATGTCTTATTTATCTTTAGTCTCAGATACCACAGACAATACCTTTCATGTCATAGGTATTGAGAGTTGTTTACTGAATTGAAATGAATTAGTAATTAATTTTGATGGATGAACATCCCTTGCTTTTCAGAGAGGAACGATCAATTTTAAGAAGGGTTATTGCTCTGCAGGAAATTTAGTTTAGTGAATCAGATAGTAAGTAGATAGGGCCTCCCCGGTGGCGTAGCGCTTGAGTGCTGGGTTGCGAAGCTGCCCGCAGCCTCTGCAGCGCTGGTTCGATCCCCGGGCTGCTCCCTGACCACCGGAGGAGGGTCCCACATGGCACGCAGACCTCTTGCCGCCCGCTGCTCCCCTCAGCAGTGTACTTCGGTCCTTCTGCCTGTTCTTCTCCCTGCTCTGTCTCTGGTGAATTCTCTCACCCTCACGTGCCTCTGACTGTACCCAGTGCTTGTATAAATAAATAAATAAATCTTTTTAAAAAAATTCAAGTTTAAAAAAAAAAAGATAGTAAATAGATATTGGAAATTTTTGAAAAGGGGAGTGGCATGATGAAAGTGGTATTTTAAGAAAGGCTGATCTGGAGATAACCTTTTATTACAGGTTTAAACTGCTTCTGGGATACATAGGTGACAGAAGCAGCAGTTGGGGAGAGGGAGGGGTGGAGACAGGCATATAAAGCCATTCTGAAGAATAGCTTCCTGAGGCTTTGTACTTTCATTTCCACATTTGTTCAAGTGGGATGTACTTGCTGGCATGTTTCCGAAAATAAAATAGAACATGGATTTATTTTTATTTTTGAAGAAAGGACATTTTTGTAAAACACCTAAGTCATCCATTTTTCATAATCATTTATTGCTTATTTGAAAAGTCATGATGAGTTTAAAACTTAAAAGGTGATTAGCTCAGCACACCTAGCCTGAAATAGTGGTTTTTATTTTAGAACATTTTAAAGTAATTGCTAATTTTGAGGAAAATACTTCCTTTTACTTTTCCAGTCCCCTTTTCTTTTATAGTTTAACTCCTCCATTCTGTCTCCCCTCTGCCCCTCGCATGGGCATTTATTTTTGATATATGACTCATGTGACTGTGTGACAGTTTATCTTCCATTTGTTTGGGGCCAAGTAGCTGACTCTGCTTTTCCTTCACATTAGTTTTTATAAACTTAATTTATAGTTGCTTTGTTGTTTTTTTTCTTTTGCAGGGTTATGACTCATTGATTAAAAAGGACTTTTCCAAATACTTTGCACTTTCGATTGTGTATTATGGATACCAAGGAAGAGAAGAAGGAACGGAAACAAAGTTATTTTGCTCGGTAAGCATTCACTGTGCAAAATCGTATGAGTACTTTAAAAAAACGTTTGAGGGGCCTTTGTCCTCAAGCATTACTTGAGATGTTGTACTTGTGAGTGTTCATAAGCTGAGCAGGTAACTAGAAGTTTAGCACACTTTGGTTCTTTTTCTCATTTATATTACAGGAATATTTGGTTCTTCTCTTTCTGTCAATGACAGTTCTCGCAGGCCAGTGCTGCTGAGGGAATCTGGTTGTCATTATGCATGGAACTGCAGATTGCTAGGAATCCCACGTTGGCAACCCACATTGAATTTTAAATGCTAAGTGCTTAGTTCTTGCTGCTCTATAGCTTAATCGGTTGAATTATAACTAAAAATATATGACATGTTTAAAGCTTATCACCTGTGGGGAGTCTGTTACTAAAACAATATTTTTGCAGGTGGATGGAATGGATGAAATTCTGCCACTGGGCTGTGTGTCATTTTTTAAAGCTTAAACTTATCCAGCATAGATACATCTGTTGGTATCTGGCTAGAAGTAATCTAGCCTGTGATCTGTTACTGTTTACAGATCTAAACATCTATATGACAGTCACTCACTAATCATAATAAAATGAATGATACGATAAAACATTTATAAATCATTTTGATAGCTGGAATGTTTTCAAACACAAAGTGAGAATGAGTTGAAATACTTCCCAACTGAATTCAGCTTTACCATCCCCCTAAACCCTAGTCTCTGCTCACTAAAGATCATTTCCTGTTTTCCAAATATGAGTCTTAAAAACTGAAAACCAATGATTTGTTGGTGTTTTTACCCAGAAATCAAGTGAGGCTTTAGATTGTTAATGGAAAAAGGAAGAAAGCAAGCATTTAAGGAACTACTGTGTGTAAAATACTTAAGATTTTATTTCTCTTTACAATAAGCTTACAATATAGGTTTTCTCACTATTTTACCAATGTGATAACTAAGAATCAAAAATTAGGTATTTTGCCCGTTTCAGGCAGATTAAGAGTCAGTGTTCAAATACAGGTTGTCTCCAAAAAGTCTGCCTTAACCAGTAAAAGTAAACTATGAATAAGAGTTTTTGGAAAGCAAGAATTAACTGCTAATGATAATGAATATTTTCCAATATTAGGATTCAGAGAATAGCAAGATTGTTTGGGGAAGGTAGGCATGAGACATCTATTGGGAAAAACATTAGAAAAATAGGACTCTTGGAGTAAAGAAGAATGTTACAGTGTTGTGAAAAATGTTTTACTTTAAGGTTATTGTAGAGTCATATATAGCTGTTAGAAATAGTAAAGAGAGAATCCCTATACCTTTCATGCAATTTCCCATGATGGTAACACCTTACATAATAACTACCCTTTAATAGCACAACGAGGAGATTGACATTGACACAATCCACTAAACTTATTCAGATTTTACATGACTTACAAGCACTCATTTGTGTGCGCATGTATGTGTTTGTATGTATTTAGTTCTATGCATTTTTATCACACATGTGGATTTGTGTGGATATAATTACAATTGAGATATAGAACACTTCCATCAGAAAGATCCCGGGGCCTCCCTGGTGGCACAAGGGGTTAAGACGCAGCACTATGAAGCTATCCACAGCAATTGTAGCACAAGTTTGATCCCTGGCCAGGAAGCTACCCACATGGCGCAGCAGACCTCTCCTAACTCACCCGCTACTCCCCTCAGCAGTGTATTTCAGTGGATTTGCCTGTTCTGCTCCCTAATCTTTCTCTGGTGAATCCTGTTACCACCACTTCCACCTCTGGCCTGTACCCCAGTTCTTGTATGCATAAATAAATAAATCTTTTTAAAAAAAGATCCCATGTGCTACTATTTTGTAGTCACATTCGTTTCTTCTCCCTACCATCCCCTGACAACCTCTAATCAGGTTTTCATGTCTGTAATTCAAAAATATTATGTAAATGGAATCATATAGTATGTAACCATTTGAGATTGGATTTTTTTCCCACTTAGTTCAGTTCCCTTTATGTCTTAATTCATTCAGATTACTGTAACAAATGTCACAGACTAAATGATTTATAAACAACAGACATTTATTTCTTTCAGTTCTGGAAAGTGGAAGTCTGGGATTAGAGTGCCAGCATGGTTGAGATCTCTATCTGTTGAAAGCCTACTTCCTGCTTCACAGAAGGCCATAGTCTTTTTGCTGTACCCTCACATAATGGATGGAGGAAGGAGCTTTCTCAGGACTCTTTCATAAGGGCACTGATTCCATGTATGAGGTGTTTCTTTCATGATCTAATCACCTCCCAAATGTCCTACCACCTAATGCCATCACTTTGGGTATGAAGTTTCAAATTATGAATTTGGGGGGAACATATTTAGGGCATAGCATCTTAAGATGTGTCCAGTATGTTGCTTGTATTGATAATTTGTTCTTTTTATTGCTAAATAGCATTCCATGGTGTGAATACTTAATCATTCACTCACGAAGGACATTTGGTTTGTTTCCAGTTTGGGACTATTACAGATAAAAACAACTAGGATCATTTATGTAAAAACTTTTGTGTGAACATAAGTTTTCATTTTTCTGGGATAAGTGCCCAGTTGAATCACTGGGTAAAATGATAAGTGCATGTTTAATTTTGTAAGAAGTTGCCAATCTTTTTTCCAGAGTGACTGTACCATTTTATCTTCCTTCCCATCAGCAATGTATAACTGACCCAGTTTTTCTGAATTCTCATCAGCATTTGGCATTTTTCTTTTGTTTTTAATTTTAACCATTCTGATAGGTATGTTGTGATATCTGGTGGCTTTAATTTGCATTTCTTTAATGGCTAATGAAGTTCAACATCTTTTCATGTGCTTATTAGCTATGTGTCTTAAATGCAGTGTCATTTTATAACTTTGGTCTGTGATCTAATAGGATTTTTTGTTGTTGTTGTTGTTGAGTTTTGAGAGTTTTATTTACTTATTCGAGGTATATCAAGTGGTGCTTTTTTTTTTTTGTTTTGAGAGTTTTAATACATTCTTTGATATGTTTTTTGCCGGTAAGTTCTCCCAGTCTATTCATTTTCTTTTTATCCTTTTTAACAGCACCTTTTCCAGAGTAAACCTTTTCAGTTTTGATGCAATTCAATATCGGTTTTTCTTCTTATGGGCTGTGCCTTTTTGGTGTCAAGTCTAACAACTCTTGGCCCAGCCTTAGGGCCTTCCTAAAGATTTTCTTACATTGTTTTCTAAAAGTTTTATAGTATTATCTTTTATATTAAAGTGTCGTATCCATATTTATTCAATTTTAATATGAAATGTGTGTTTAGGTTAAGGTTCTTTTTCTTTTTTTGTTTTGCCTACGGATGCCCTACAGAGTGATTTTTAAAAACTATAGTGTCTTTTCAGTCTAAAGCCACACTGATTCCAGGGTAATTGGTGGTTCATAAACAATCTGCTCAAAGTTAACAGTGTCTCATTCCTAAGATGTACTAGAAGGGGCGTCCCTAAAACTGAAATTTGCAAAATGAAACTGTTCTGAAAGAACAGCACTGTTTGTTCAACTCAGAAGTGTAAAATTTAATTGTCATGCTTGCCTTAACCTCTTGTAAAAAGTATTCTAACAGTGGAAAGTAAAACATATCCAAATAATAAATATGACAAACATAGGGAGAGCAGGACAAGGACAAAAATGAGTGGTGTGTTGGAAACAGTAAGTCAACTTGATGAATTACTAGGAAATGAGAAAGGGACTGAGGGAAGAGGGTGGAGGGGAGGGGAGAGCACGCCCAGAGATTAGCTTTTATAATGCAGTGACAGCCACAAATGGTCAGGTCATTAAAAGCAAAATGCAAACTAAAAAAAAACATTATCAGTAAAGAGACAGCTAAAGCTATAAATCTTTTCAAATGCCTTCTGACTAAACCGTGGTATTCCATAAAGTGGAAATATCAGAAGAACCTGCGTGAAAGCTGGTTTCTGAAAACACAGGGCAGATTTCTCAGGAGCAGTTTCCCTAGGAGCAGTCTAATCAAGATCTCTAGACAAGAATGTAAGTCAGATCAAGTTTAAGGTCGAATGAATGCAATCACACAACCTTACACAAATCTCTGCTAATATACAGGAGAAAGCAGAAGGGAGATTTCTCCTGATTTCTGCCTTCTGCCACAATATGTATCTGAAACCCTAAAAATTGTTCTCAATTATTTTCCTCCCCACTCCCTCTTTTCCCTTCCGAGTAGTTAACCTGTTTTCTCAATGTTCTATTTACCATATGGTTTCATAAACATGATATGATTTTGTTGTTGATCTTCCCCTCCCTCTGAATTTAACATTAAAAGGTCCCATTTTAATAATTTTGGTTTGAGATTAGTAATTTGAGCATCACCATTCATCTTGATATATGACTGTGTAACTTCACATTTAAGGGTGACTTGGCAGCAGTATTAAATGGATTTATTCTGGGTAAATTCTAAGGACTTTTAAGGGTCTCCTGACATTGGCCCACCTGGTATTCAAAATCTTTAGTGTTGTTTTGTGCCAGTTGTGTATCCCAAATCAACTGATTCCTGAAACCTTTCCCCAAATTTTTGCAAAGAATTTGTGTGTACAAAATCTATAGGTTATATATGTGTGTGTTAATTCCTTGCTATTTGACAGGTCTTGAAAACAAATGAAAAACTAAATTATTAAAGCAGATTATACTTTCCGTTCTGTCTCCTGGAATAAGCTTCATTCATTTTGACCCTTGCTTCATCTTCCTTCTAATAGTTAGAAGCAGGTATTTGCACACAGGGCTGTCTTCTCCCTGCTCAATCTGATATTGTTTGAATTTTGCAGAATTTAGAAGCCATTTAGTGATTTTTTTTTATGTAGTCCCTTTATGTTCTTTGTATGTGTGTTTGAAAATTCTTTAAAAATATATTTTCCAGGATTAAAGGTTAATTTAGGATATCAAACATTTAACCTTAGTTAACTCAAAGTGGTATTTTCTAGGGGTAAATTTACCTTTTCCGTGTGATAACATCTGCAGGCCTGTGAGTAGA